TTGGGCAAGATTTGGCAAAGCCTTGGCAGCAAGATTTTGTGAATGACCGAAGAATCAGGGAACAAGAACTTATGTGAACAAGAACAATAATGCAACTGATAATGCTTATCAGATAAAGCAGTAGATTTTGAGAGAAGCCGTTGTTTGTCATGGCTTGTTTGTGTTCTCCAGAATGCTTTAGATATTGCCTCTAAGCTTTGAAAGCCAGTGTTAGCTGTTTTCGAAGGAAACCGAAGACCTCTATTACCTCTCACTACACTTTTATATCGACTGCCATTAAGTACAGTTACTTTTTGACTCATTATGGGCCGCTGGTCGTTTCTTTGCGATACGCGGCCCAGCTGCCACGGTAATAATGGGGTAAGTTGGGTCTACTCGTTCCGTCGACCGGTTTCTTGCCTATTATTCTTTTGTGGTTGCCGCTATGGATTTTTCTGGTGCAAAAAAACACTGACTAAGAAAAGTCTTGATGGGAAGAAACAGAGCATCCAAAGTTTCCGTCGTAAATCACGTGCTCATTTCGGGTTCTCGTCCTCATTATGACCTTCTTTGACACCAAGCCAGGTGTCGGTGATTGTTGCTTGGCCGGACTGGTCAGTGGGTCACAAGGTCCACTCACGTCGCATCTTATGGTCGGGCCAAAATTCTCGTTTGAGATGGTGGTTTCGTTCGTCCTCGCCCACGATGAGACTCGACGGCACGGCAACGGGATGTGGACGGCGGTGTCAGCTGCACCGTTACACGAGGTCGACGATGACAGATGTTTAATTTAGCGCGGCATCGAGCGTTAATGACCAGCCAGCCGAACCGGCCGGACCAGGCGATCCGTCAGTGCCACGGTAACGACCCTCACGGTACTGGTTGGCGTAAAAATTATTGACTCGTTCCAACGGCGGCTTCCGTCACCACTGACAACTGCGACGGCGGCCCCGGCCCGTCCGTCAGTGTCGGCCACGACCGATGGCACTCGCCCGACCGCTAATGTGGACATAAAATCTGAGCACTGACGA